GACTTGCTAATACCTCAGCAGTGAGAACCACAGGCCAGCGCCCTGCAGCATGAGCAGGAACAAGAACAAAATCCATCAGGCACCTCCTTTTATGACCTGTCACTGTGGACTGCAAAGACCCTGCAGGGGGTTAAAGAGTCAGAGAAGCATACAAAGGGAAGGCTGGATCGAAAAATAGCTACAAAAGAGCATCTCCAGTCTGAAGTAGACTCTCTGACCTATGGTAGAGAGGAATCTAATCCTAGCTTTGCCACTTCCCAGACTGGTAAACACCATCATTTCTTTACCCCTCTAAATTTTCTCATATATGAAATAGTAATAGTGATTACCTCTCTTATATGGTTGTTACAAGACAGTCATGAGGTAAATTACCACTATGTCTCATACTAAAAAAGCAAAATTATCAACACACATAGTAGACATATCTTTTTTAATCTTTTTATCTTTTTTCCTTAAAAAAGATAGTTGGAACAAGGCACAATGGCTCATGCCTATAATCCTAGTTACTTGGGAGATCAAGAGACTCTTTCCAGGCCAATCAAGAAAAAAATGGAGACTCAATTTGAGAAATAACAAAAGCAAAAAGTGTTGAAGGTATATGGCTCAAGAGCCTGCCTGACATGTGTACGGTCTGAGTTCAAATCCCAGTACCACTGAATATGTAGGTTAGTCAGACAGCCAGGCACAGTTGGGCACAGTTAGTGCAATGGACCTGGAAAAAGACATCTCTAGGACATGGCAAAGTACATTCCAAAAAATTCAACCTTCACTTTGTTCCAGAGATACAGGAAAAGGGAAGGTAGGACAGACCTGAGTGGAAACCACAGGTAAATTTCAAACTGCAATGGCTAAAAGCTCACAACCAATCAAAATATCATAGACAAGATCAGTGAGCAACGTTCACTGGTTCTTCCAAGCATCTAATTATCATAGAAGTTCATCAATGCCTGAAGCTATACAGATAAAAATTTCTAGACATAGCCCATTGGGTAGCAACTCCCTCCCAGGAGCACCCTTGCTCATCAAGAGTTCTTTTTTTTCTTCTTCTTACTTGAATAACTCCATACTTCCATGGATTTCATGCCCTTAATTCATGAAAACAAGGACCCTGTGAATCAAGAACAGCAGGCAACACAAGGCAGCCAGCTTCAGAGCACCATCCAGGCAGGAGTTGCCAAGATTCCATCAAAAGAGCTGTAACTCTTTCAGGGTTCCAATGGGTCACTAGCAGCCACCATAGCAGAAAATAAAGCAGTATCACTGCCAAAATAGATGATAGATAGATAGACAGATAGATAGATAGAAAGATAGATAGATAGACAGAAAGAAACCTAGTTGGAAGAATATTCAATAATATATAAAGACTTCCAGAAAGAAATACTTAAATAAAAATACAATTTTTTAACTATGACCCTTTTAAATATTTAACAAGATGCAAAAACCATGGCAGTTTGGGTTTAACATCTCATCTAGACTATAAAACCATATGACCCTGTCCAGCAGATCTAAACTTTCTCTTCTTTACCTGTTGTGAGCTGTTAGTTAAATGTACTTTGCCACTTACTTTTCTTAAATATCAGAGAATGACAAGGAAGAAGCAAGACCTACTTCAGACAGTAGAGTGAGATCAGAAACATTTTGTCTTTTTCCAAGTTTGAAATTATTTTCCTTTCACACTGACACACAGCTAGAGCCCAGTAAGCATGGGTATCACTCCCTCCCCTCTTCTGCTCATATGAATTTAGATCGAATGGAATCTGGACCCAACCAAAAGGATTTGATTCCCCAAGTAGAAAATGTCCTTCCCACTGGAAGTAGCTCTTTTACTCAGTTGCTAAAGACCAGTTGTCCAATTCCAGATTTTCCCCATGCCATTTTCTAGACAATTGTCACAAGAAAGCCAGGACCCTTGGGTGAAGAAAATGCAAAAGCAAAATTTCAGACAAGGTCATCCTTATAAGGAAATCTCAGTGGCTGGATCTGCCTCAGTGGGTGAAGCAAGATCTCTTTTGTGGGCTCAAATGTTGCAGGAGAGTTCCTGCCCAAGCTGTTTCTTTCTCAACTTCCCAATGCCTTGTTTTTTTTTTTCTTTTGCAGCTGGGGAAATCGGAAACCAAATCACCGTACGCTGAGCCACAAACCCGGACTGACTGTGCTTGGAGGTTCCTGTAATGCATGAAATGTTGTTTGTAAATGATGATCTCTAAATCTGCTCCCCCACAGAGCTCTGGGGAACTTCCCTCCTTACCTTCTCCACTTGCTCTACCTGGGCCTCCTCCTCTGCCCAACCATGAGCTCTGGAACCAACTCTTGGTAGCTCAGCACTAATCCTGCCCTTCACAACCAGTGCTCCAGTACTTATGGTTGAACTTAACAGGGCTCCAAACACCACCTGCCTGATGGCCTCTCTTATGAGCACTGAGAAAGCAGACTTGTTGAGCTTTCAGATAAAGGTAAATGTTATTGATAACAGTAATAACAGTAAATCTTTCCCCCAAAGAATGTGTTACTAGAAAATCTAAAGTCTACTTTCAAGCGCAATCAAAGATACTAGGATATGTTGTCCTTAACCTCAGCATGTGTGCGTGTGTACACACACACATACACACACACACACACACACCATCATGAACATCACCATCATTGCCATCATCATCATCATCATAATCATCACTACCATCCCTCTTAGGTAACTGAGATGTAGCATCAAGGTGGTTGCTTCTCTGGTATATTACTGAGTTAAGTTGTCTACACTTTATACTCTGTTGAATGAAGGTGAGATGTAGATAGATGAACCTAGAACCTTCCTGTCTTTTTTCCCTCTGGATCATTTTGGTGCCTGCTACTCACCTTCAGACTATGTGTTGGAGAAAATTGTGGCAAGATGACTATGGTTCCTCTCGGAAGTGACTAGGCCTTATTTCTGCATGGTAGAGTGTGTTTCATGGTCCTGACTTGGGGCAGAGCTAGCTTTGAGAAATGGAGAAGGATAGCCTTTAGCAACACTGAGAAAGAAGCAATTCACTCCCTGAGCTTCCCACTTACCCCAGCAGGGGCCCATGTCTGTATGCCAGAATTAGACTCCCATTCCACTTTATTTCCCACTTGTACCCTTCAGCAGGCTTTCTGCCAACCATTTTCACTGATCTGTTGTTGATAATAAAGCTGGCAGGTAATTAAAAACATTGGGACCGTAAGAGATTAAGGTCTTCCTTTTCCTGTTCATTCGTGCTTTAATGTATTTAAATCTACTACAAACAAAAAGTCTAGTAATCTGAAGTGAGTCATCTTGTTGGAAGCCAATTAACCCAAAAAGGATTTTGTTGAGGCAGAGGTTACTGCTCGTATAACCCTGGTGCAATGGCCACCTGGGTATGTCTTGCTTTTCCAAACAACTCTCCTCATCAACCCAGAGTTGAGGTTCTTCTCCTCAGCCCAGGATCCTGGGGTCCAATGTACAGTAATAATCATCCCAGAGCGGGTTAAAGGTTTGTGCAGTGGCTTGGTGCCTTGTGTGATGCACAGGGATTTCAAGCCAGCCTTTGGTCTCCCTGAGCACAGGACACCCCTAGCTTGCAGAACAGAATAAATCATGAAGGGGCTTTGGGAACAGGGCAGGAACTAGTCCAGCCTTTGGGCAACACACAGCCCCACAAATATTCTAACCAGCCCCAAAAACATAATGTCCACAGCAATACTCCAGAAGCCAACAGCTGGGAACAATGTTTTTAACCTTTTTGAGGATTTTGTTGTTGTTGTTTTTAAGCATCTAGTGGAAGCCAGAGAAGAATGTTCTGTGCCTACACTCAAAATATTGATTGATAATGGTTGTGGAATCAATGGCAAGTTCATTTCACAGAGGTATGGACTGGCCGAGTCAAGGACTCTGGTTTAGTTATTCTGATGACAGCTCCCTACCCCCACCCCTTCGCTGACACCACTGTCACAGCACCTACATGAGGATGGCAGTTTCTCAAGCCACAGTTTAAAACTTCCTTTTAGGTGGTTAATCGCTGGTGAAAAGTGCCCGTTCGTCTCTGGCCATCTCATTTTAACAAGCCTTTGGATAGCTCCGTGGTTGCAATGATTGGGAAGTTAGTTTAGATGATTCATAGATCGTCAGAAATTAGAGGAGCATTTGGGAGAATTATCCTATGATGTGAACATTATTGACATGTTGACCCATCCACCCTTTCAGATACCATTTAATTGGGTTGGTATTATTGGTTGGGTGGGAATAGATAGGGAAGGAAAGCTTCTGAAATTCTTATGCTGAACTGCAGATAGAAGGGGAGGACTTTTCTAGTGTTATTTAAAATGAGATTCTACAGATAGTAGTACATCAGCCTCTCTTTCTCTCTCACAACACACACACACACACACACACATCTACGTAGCTACTTCCCTAATATCTCAAGAGCCTAGCTCTATGACATTTAGCTGGAAATTCAAATTTAGCTCAGAGAACAATATCAGTGTTTTAATATCACTCTGTTCCCAAATCACTCATTTAAGAACCACTTGCAAAACAGCACTGGTGATGCAGACTTTTTTCTAAGTCTGGGACTACAGGGCTGGAAGAGATTGAAAAGCCTAGGGAGCATACAATGAAGACACAGGATGATGTTTACAAGCACAGACAGCCAAAGTGTGATGAAGGTGAGCACAAGACAATTTTCTTCAACCTCTGAGTTTTCTTTTTTTTTTTGGGGGGGGGAAGGGGGGAGGGTCCGGTCGTGGGGCCTGAACTCTGGGCCTGGGCGTTGTCCCTCAGCTCTTCAGCTCAAGGCTAGCGCTCTACCACTTGAGCCACAGCGCCACTTCCGGCTTTCTTCTTTTTTTGCTTATGTGGTGCTGAGGAATCGAACCCAGGGCCTCAGGCATGCAAGGCAAGCACTCCACCACTGAGCCATCTTCCCAGCCCCAACCTCTGAGTTTTTCCAACCCTTCCTTCACCCCCTGGAGCCTTATTCCCAAAAAGAAAAACAAGAGATTCAGAGTCCTGAGGTATGAATGACTTTATTATTCTATAAGAACATGCCCATGTGCCGCTCTCCAAGCCTGCACAGTTCTGCTAGTTCTTGTGGCTTTCTTCGTGGGCTAACACACCCATCTTTATCACAAATATGAGGAACTCCTGGAAGTTGATTGCCCCATCTAAATTGACATCCAAAACTTTGAACCAGGTGTCTGCATCCTTGTTCTGTGAAGATTGAGGGGGGGAAAAGTCAAAGGGTAAAAGATCTTGGAGAAAACTGAGGCATGTCTATCTACAGTGGCTCAGAGACACTGGCATGATTGGAACCAGGCAGAGAACCCCAAACACAGCCAGCCCCTCCTCACCTTCAACAAGTTAGGAACCTCTGCCGCTAGCAACTTCTTCAGGTCATCCTTGTAGAGGGAGTGATAATTCCCTTGTGTCAGGGAGTACCTGTGATAGACATCAATTACCCCGTCCAAAGCACACTCCAGGTCAGACGGCATGGTGCTCAGTGATGTGTCCACCTGAAAAGAAGAGCCACAGGGGAATCCTGACATGGGGGTGGTATAGAGTGAAACTAAAGAGATACCATTGGAACTCTAGTAGTGTCTTTGGCCTGGCCTACACCATCCAAATAGCTAAACCAACAGTTGTCTGTGGTTCTGGTGGGAAGGAGTGGGATAATATGGATATAGGCATGGGAGAGGGCTCAATACAGACACACACACACACTTATGGAAGGAACATGCCCTCATCCACTGCAAAGTGCTAGAGAAACATTCCTTCCTCTTCCCTGTCTCACTCTTCTCCTCTCTGAGCCCCAGGATCTTGACAGCAAACTACCCTGAACATTCTCTCTTCTCTAGAAGATTAGTCCACTTTCCCAACTCTCCCCCTAAGAGAAGCCTAAAGCAGAGGGCAGACTTGGACAGTCTCACTTACCAAGTGTCCCTGAAACAAGAGTTGACAACGGAGGTACAGGGCTGAGCATCAGCTCCCTTTTATAGCGGAAGGCTTGGCCTCAGGCCATTCTGCAGCAGCAATCCCTTGCAGAGTTGCAACATCCCTGGTTTCCCAACCAGGTAGATGTGCCAATTACTATGTAGATTGAACATCTCTGAGGGCCAGGAAGGTGGGGAAGAGTAAGGCAGAAGGCATTTGCTGGGCACCACCTGGCAGAAGAGATAGGAGGGGGCTGTGGCACATACTCCTTTGCTCTAGAAGCCTGTCCCTTTCTCCTCCCAGACCCCCACATCTGAGCCCTCTCTGGTGTTTCTGATGCTACTCGGGTGCCTTTGGGTACCCGTAAGTGCACTCTCCAAAACTGAAGCTGAATGTAGCATTTTGAGTGTGTGCATAGAAAAGCATTCCCCCAGAAGCTTTCATCTGCCACTCAACAAGATCTAAAGACTTCAAAAAGGCTAAAGAAAACTGGCCTCAGCTGCTGGCTTTTGGTAATGAAAGCTGGAATCTTGCTGTGGGAGTTGTTTGGGGGGGCTTCCTGGAGTCTTCATGGGGATGTGTACCGTCAAAGACTGGACCAGTTCCTACCCTGCTATCCACACCCACCATGACCATTCATTCCACTGTGCAAGCTGGGGGTGTCCTGGGCTATTTGAAGTCCCTCTGCAGTGCACAAGGTACCAAGCCACTGCAGGAACACAGCAGGGAACTTTCAACCCTCTCTGGGATGATTATTGTTGTATGCCAGACCCCAAGATCCTGGGCTGAAGAACCCAGCCCTGGTGTGGTGAGAAGGTACGTTCTTGGGAGAAGCTAGACATCTTCACTCCCAATCAGAGAAGAGGAAGTAACCACTTTCCCAAGATTTCAGAAGCAAATACCCCATTCCTATCTACCACCACTAACAAAATGCCCACTCCGATCAACACTTCCATGGCTGAAGATCTGTGGTACGATTTTTCTCATAGCACAATACACTTCACATTCATGTTATCTCAGAGCCTCAGAAAATGCCTGTTAGGAAAGTCAGGATACAGAACTTGAGGAAACTCGGGTCTAGAACGGTGAAGGGATTTACCCTCAAGTTTCCCGTGGCAGATGTGTCATCGTTGCACTGAATCCTAGAGAATCAGGCTTCAGAATGTGATCTAACAAGAGCATGACTTCCTTCCTGCATCAAGTCAACTAATATTGACCCTGTGTTTCACCATAGCTGGGCCATCATCTCCTCCTTGTGGTAGTAAATGGAATTAGCCTGTCTCCTTCAGGTTTTCAGGGCCATGTGGGCTCCATTATACTATTTGCTTTTTAGCCTTGTGACCTTGAACTAGTGACCTACCCTCTTAGTACATTAATTATGTCAATTATTAAGTGGATATTAAAATTAGAATATTCTTTGAACCCATGGGATGGGTGAAAACATTTCTAAATTGTGTTTCTGACAAAGAGTTAATATCCAGAATGTTAAAGAGCTTCAGCAACTCCTTAACAACAAAACAACCCAATAAAAGAATGGGCAAAGGATTTAAACAGATATATCACCAAAGAATATATACAAATGACCAATAGTCACATAAACAATGCTTAACATCGCTAGTCATTCGGGAAAGGCAAATCATCACCTGTGTTCAGTTGAATACTACTTTGTTTTAAAGCAGAAAACAACAAAGGCTGACAAAGTCATAGAGGAATTGAAGGTCGACGAAGGTTGACAGGGCCTGGGAAGGTGGCTCAGTGGTAGAGCGCTTGCCTTGCATGCATGAGGCCCTGGGTTCAATTCCTCAGCACCACATAAACAGAAAAAAGCCGGAAGTGGTCCTGTGCCTCAAGTGGTAGGGCGCTAGCCTTGAGCTGAAGAGCTGAGGGACAGTGCCAGGCCCAGAGTTCAGCTCCCATAACTGACAGAAGAAAGAAAAAGGTTGACACAGTCATAGAGGAATTGAACACTGTTTCTGGGAATATAAAATGGTACAACTTCTATGAAAAACAGCATGGTAGTTCCTTGATAAACATTGTGTTATCATAGAAAAAGCTAGAAATGGTGTTGTAGCTCAAGTGGTAAAGCACAGGCCTTGAGTGCAAAGAAGTTCAGGGACAGCACCCAAACCCTGAGTTCAAACCACCAAGACCCTGAGTTAAATCCCAGGCAAATTAAAAAAAAAAATGAGTTACCACCTGATCCAGTAATCCCACTTGTAGATGACTACAGTCAGAGTCCAAAGCAGGGTCTCAAAAAGATGTTTGTACACACAGGTCCATGTCAGCTTTGTTAACAATAACCAAAGGGGACAAAGAACTCATGCCCACCAATGAATGAGTGGATTAATCAATTGTGGTGTGCACCTGCAATAGAATAACATTCAGCCTTTACAAAGGAAGGCTGTCCTGACTGATGCTACAGCATGGACGAACCTTGAAGACATCATGCTAAGCGAAATAAGCTAATTTAAAAAGACAAATGCTAGGAAATGGCGCTGTAGCTCAAGTGGTAGAGCACTCGCCTTGAGCTGAAGAGCTGAGGGACAGCGCCCAGGCCCAGAGTTCAAGCCCCACGACTGACCAAAAAAAAAAAAAAAAAGAAAGAAAAAGAAAAAGACAAATGCTGTATAGTTCCACTTAAATGCATTACTGAGTGTAATTAAATCCATAGGACAGTAAGTAGAATTCTCACTGCCAGAGGCCGGAAGGAGAGGAAAATGGACAGCCATTTGATGGGCATGGAATGTGTTTTGCAAGATGAACAGGGTTCCAGAGCTCAGTTGCCCAACAATGTAAATGTACTTTAACACTACTGAAATGTACACTTAAAATGGCAAAAATGTAAACAATGTTTTATGTATTTAATACTATATGTATTTAATATTATATGTATTTGACCACAAATCCATAATTTTTTCAATTTTTAATGGTGACCTCTTTAAAACAAAAATTCTATCTTATGAGGATTAAAAATAGAAGCAAGCTAGGTGCCAGAGGCTCCCACTTATAATCCTAGCTACTCAGGAGACTGAAATCTGAGGATCATGGTTTGAAACCAGCTCGGGAAGAAAAGTCCTCATGAGACTCTTATCTCCAATAACTACTCAAAAGCTAGAAGTGGCATTATGGCTCAAAGTGGTAGAGCACTAACCTTGAGCCAAAGAGCTCAGGGACAGCACCCAGGCCCTCAGCTCAAGCTCCAAGACTGACAAAATAAATAGATAGTTTTTTTCAAAAAAGAATCAAAACTGGGCACTGGTGGCTCATGCCTATAATCCTAGCTACTCGGAAGACTGAGATCTGAGGATCATAGTTCAAAGCCAGCTGGGGCAGGAAATCTATGAGACTCTGATCTCTGAAAACCGGAAGTGGTGCTGTGGTTCAAGTGGTAGAGCACTAGCCTTGAGCTGAAGAGCTGAGGGACAGCGCCCAGGCCCAGAGTTCAAGCTCCATGACTGACAAAAAAAAAATCAAAATATCTGTAAATTACCCATTTTATTACTGTGCATTATATTTTCATAAGAAGTTAATTTAAAATGTGTAGAGTGCTGGGGCTAAGTAAGATGAGCAAAAGCCTTGAGTGCTGCTGATCTACGCCTGGTTCTTGGGCTAGATTGGGAATCCTCCTGGCCAGACTTTTTCTCTGCAGGAAACGTCTTTGCCTCCTAGGACCCAGCACAAACCCAGCCTGGCACACACCACAAGAGCAACCAAAGTTGTAGTAAGAGTAGCTAATGGGTATACAGATCAGCTAACATTCACTATGCATGAGCCACATGTCAGAAAATCTCCTCAGTGCTTTACCTACACCTGTTTAACCTTAGGGGTCATGTATATACTACACACAAGAGGAAACTGAAATCCTTGGAGAGACAGGATATTTAATCTCTGTACAATTTAGATGACATGGTACGATGTGACATAATTCCATCCTATGCCTGCTGGAGCCACTCTACATCCTACTGACATCTTCCTCATCCTTCTCATCCAACTCAGACACCACCCGCTGACCCTCATTGCCCCACCCCACCTACCCAGCTTACTATCTACTCTGTACCACCCAAACCTTATCCTCACAGCGCCAACCCATTGGTACAATGATCTGCCTGTGTATTGTCTGTCTTCTCTTTGAGGATTGGAGACTCTCTAGAAGAGAAGCCACACTCACTTCACTCTCAGGATCTAGCACCTATTGGGTGCTTGGTGGCTATGGAGATTATAAATAAGCACAAAGTTGAACTGTTGGCCTTTCCCTCACCCAATGAGGTGATTCTCTTTTTCACATATAATCACTTTAGGTCATTTTTTTGGAAGAATGCACAATACAAACCCATCAACCATCTAACTTCCTTGACAAACAATAACTCAGTCTCTAAGTTGGAAGCCAGTGGCCTTTCTGCCAGATAATATGACAAGTTTTCAACCAAGGTTTGCCCCTAGCTCATACCTATGATGCTCTACGTACCATTTTATATGACCTGGCATACATGCCTTACCCCAAAGCTGTAATCCTACTTTGAAAAGATTGATGCCCTCATTTAATATTCCCAGCAACCTTGTGGAGTGGACATTATTTAGGCACAATTATCTCTATTTGACCAATGGGGAAATCGAGGCCCAGGCATTTCTCAAGGTCCTTCCCCAGGATCTTGAGTGAGTTTCTGTCATGAGTTAGTTATAGCTTCCTGCCAGAATCCTGTATAGACTGATCAATGAAACCATGAACTGTCACCATTCACAAGTGTGTCCCTCACCCCTTAGGAAGACAGCCTTGAGGCTCCACAGAGAGCCAGGAGCCAGGAAGAATTGACTTCACAGATGTGGGTAACAAGAATTGGGTAAACATATTGGGGAAAGGCAGAACTTGCAATCAACCAACGGACATGGGGCAAGTTGCGGGGAGAGGAACATGTCTCAGTCCTCAGATGTGTGTCCCAACAGATCTGGCCCAGCCCATCCTGATGCTAAGGAAATGAGGACAGACAGAACTGGTAGAGAAATTCCCCAGGAGGGGGTTGGAGGAAGTCACAGGGGCCTTGGGCTTATTGTGTCCTTGGGTAGAACCCAGCACCTCT